TTTCCTTGTTGCCCATTTTATGTTGGGTGTCATCTTTTCCATCGAGTTGAGAGTCATTCATGCCCTCTCTGACAGCCACTTTCAAATCTTCAGCTGCCACTGGGTGGCATCCCTCTCTGAGGGGACCTTGTGCCCAGTCAGGATGTATTGCTACATCATGTGTCCCGGGGATCGTGGATGAGGCAGAACCTGCTTGCCTCTTAGTCGAGAATTAGCACATAGTCTTGGAATCCCCAAACCTGCTGTGGGGGGTTTCCACTCTGCCTCTGTCAGGGAGCTGCTCCGGTCAGGATGCAGTTCCCGATCTCTGGGAGGCCCCGTCTGTGTGTGCCACATGTGGTCCTTCACTTCCAGCCCCTCTGCTGCCCCTGGCCTACCACAGGCCCTGCATGGTGGGAACAGGCTCAGCCTGGAGGAGTCATTTGCTCAGGGCCCAAAGTCCCTCACTCATCACTCTGCCTGGCCTACCTGGAGCAGGGTGGGTGCCTCCCTAGTGTACGAGGTCAGGAGCCTCCTTTTATAAGGAACCCACTCCCACGTGGCCTTGTTCATTCCCAAGGAGGTGTTCCCATGTGGGAGGACCCCAGGGGAGACTGCCTGCTGATCGATCTGTGGTCCTGGGCCTTTCACCTCCCCTGGCTGAGCCTCCATGTTCCAGGGGACAAGGGCTGGGGTGGGGGAAGTTGACCCAAGGGAAACATTTAATCCCCATCCTAACACTGTGAAGAGCATGAGCCCGTGAGAGGCCACTGGATCAGGAGGGCATCCCCTCGGGACTGGATTAAGGCCCAGTGGGATTGGGTTAGTTGTAAAAGGGAGCCTGGGGACCAGCAGTTGGCATAATGGCTATGTCGCTGGACTCCTACGTAGTCGCCCGCGGTTCGCGTCCCGGACCCGGTGGCTTAAAACTCACGCTGGGCACGTGTGCGTGCGTGCCCGAGATCCCGAGAGGAGAATGGAGGAGAAGGGATTGCAGCGTGGCCATCCCCCCTGGGGGGTGATTTCTCGCTTTCTGTCTCTCTGTCTGTCTCTGTCTGGCGAGCGCACGCGCCCTATAGCCAAAACCTCTCAAAATAAAATAAAATAAAATAAAATGGGAGCCTGGTTCTGGTTCTGTCCTCTGCAGGAAGGAGTAGGGAGGCAGCCTCACTCCTTCCTTCCTTCCTGCAAGTAAGGTTGCCTCCCTACCCCTTCCCACAGGAAGCCCTCAGGGGCTGAGCAGCAGTTTAAGAATCTAGGACCTTCCAGAATGAAATTAGCCTCCCTCTGGGTCCAGTGGGGGCAGGGACAGAGGCCAGCAAAGCATAAGGACAGCCCGAAGGCAAAAGAAGCTCTGTGCAGCCTGAGCCCAGGGGAAAGGGCCTTTCCTCCAGGAGCCTGCCTCTGGCACAGCCTGTTCCGGGTGGTCAACAAGTAGGTGCTTAAAGCAGTGTAGGTGAATGAGGCTTGTGTAGGAATGGCCAGCAGGCCCAGAGACTCGGGAGAGCCTTGGGGACAGCAGCCCCACCTCGTGTCTTGAGATGACACTGCACAGAACTAACGGTGGCCATTCCCACCCTGTAGCCCTGGGGTGGAGAAGCTTCAGCTGCCACCTTTGGCGTGATCAGCACCATTGCTGCCATGTCCGAGCGGTCCCTTTCTGGAGGGTGTAAGACTGGTTTCCATGCGGAAATGTCACCCTGTTAACCCGTATGAGTTACCCTTAACCTCAGACTCAGGGAGCTCCAGTTCCCTGTCAGCCCCGCTCGGACCAGCCACCATGACCCTCTGTCTCACACCCCCCTACACACACTCTGCTCCTCCAGCTGCAGATCTGTGATTCTCACAAAGCCTGATGACTCCCCACATGTCACCTCACTCAGCCTGCGGAGAGAGGAATGACATGAGGTCATACCCTCCCTTCTCCCGCTCTCCTCAACACACACCCGTTCTCCAGGCAGAGCTGAGCATGTGGACTCTGAGAGCACAGAGCGTTTTCCCTCTTCCCTCTGTTTTCTTTTCTTTCTTTCTTTCTTTTTTTAAAGGTTTTTGTTAGAGCTTGTGTGCGCTCACCAGAGAGAGACAGAGAGAGGGAAAGTGAGACCAGGGATGGCCATGCCACAATCTCTTCTCCATTCTCTTCTCAGGATTGTGTGTGTGTGTGTGCGCGCACCTGGCCTGATTTTCAAGCCGCTGGGTCCATGACTCGAACCACGGTCAGTCATGGGGGAGTCTGGTGCCTTAACCACCATGACACCAGCTGGCCCTCTTCCCACTGGTTTCTTAGACACAATGTTGGCAATCTCTTTTTGAAGGAGGTTGAGGAACGTAACCTCCATAAGTTAGCAAGACGTCGTTTAAACAATCACAGCCCTTTCCAAACTGGCCCAGATTTGTGATCTCGTCAGCACGGTGGGTGGGTGAGTCTCCGCTCAAACATGGTTTCGCTTTTCCTTGAACACACACACCGTTCCTTCCTCACGGCCGAAGTGTGCTTCCTGCTTCTCAGACGTGTGGAGACAATTCTCCAATGAAATGACCCTTCACTGCGGAGCAGAACTTGCCACAGGCTCTGTAATTAGAACATTGCCAGCCTTAAAAAATCTTGATTTAAATTTCAATTCTTTGCAGGAATTATTCTCTTTTGAAATGTAATTGCTCTCCAAACGATTTCCTTTAAGCCGAGGGTGACATCTCTAAATACATTATTATGAGCAGATGTATTGCTCAGTGCCCGCACTTCATTAAGCATTTGTTCTGCCCCTTGGAAGGTGATCCTGGGGCCTGAGTTAACGCACTAATAGAGCGGGCACTGGTAAGCTCTGGAGCCCAGTCCGGGCTGGGAGAGCTGTACTTAGCCCTCCTGTGCCCCTGAGGAGCCACAGAGTGAGAAGTGGAGCCCAGGTATGGGTATGCTGTACGCCTTCTGGGTCCCCGCGGGGAGGCGCCTTTGTTCACCTGCAAGCAGAGCACCTAGGGCTGTTCACAAGTTACCAGTGCCTGGGGACATGCCCTGGAGATGGTGTCAGAGGTCAGTCCAAAGCCCCAGCTTCCTAACTTTCTAAGTGATGAAGCGTTAGTAAACTGGACCATGCTTTAGAAAAACTCTAAAGCTGGGATCAGCAGTTAGTGTAATGGCTATGTTGCTGGACTCCCATGTAGTCGACTGCAGTTCGAGTCCCAGACCCGGTGGGTTAAACTCACACCAGGCGTGTATGCGTGTGTGCCCAAGATCCCGAGAGGAGGATGGAGGAGAAGGGATTGCGGCGTGGCCATCCCCCTTGGGGGGTGATTTCTCGCTTTCTCTTTCTGGTGAGCGCACGCTGCCCTATGGCAAAAACCTCTCCAAAAAAAAAAAAGAACAACAACTCCAAAGCGTGCACAGCCATAGCCGCAGAATGTAATGGCATCCTGAACAGCCAGGCTCGGAGCTGAGTGTGCAGCCTGGGCCAACAGGGGTGGGTGGAGGGGTGAGTGACCCGGTGTGGCAGGAGCCTGGGCATTCAATGGGAAAGGGCCCCTGGCGGGTAGACTATGGCCTTCGCAGAGCAGGGAGCACAAGAGCCCACCCACTGCCCTTTCTTCAGCAGACACTTCAGGCAGCTCCTCCCAGGCGGGTCTAAAGCCAAGCACGGCGGGCACAGAAACCAAGCCCTGCGCCGTGGTGTGCTCAGAGGAACTCGGAGGGTGCTCGGTAATCACAGTGCAGGGAGGCAAGTGCTGACAGAGCCAGGAATGTGCAGCCACGTGAAGGTAGGAGCCATGCTGTGGGAACCTGGAAGACTGCCTGGCAGAGGAAACAGGCTGGACCTTTTATGAGAAGCAAGTTTTCTGAGGGAGATCACTGAGAAGGAGGTTGGGAAAGAGCACACATCTGCCCACATTCCAGTGGCTAACGCTAGTCACAAGACTGGGACCAGCAGATGAGGTAATGGTTATGTCGCTGGACTCCCATGTAAGTCAGCCATGGTTCAAGTCCTGGACCTGGCAGCTTAAAACTCAGGCTGAGCACGTGTGTGTGTGTGCGCGTGCCCAAAATCCCGAGAATGGAAAAGGGACTGCAGTGTGACTACTCCCCCCGGATAGCTTTCTGTCTCTCTGTCTCATTTTCTGTCTCTGTCTCTCTCGCTTTCTGTCTCTCCCTGTCTGTCTTTCTGGCGAGCATACTTGCCCTACAGCAAAAGTCTCTCCTGAAGGAAAAAAAAAGCTAGTCACATGACTGACCGCATGCAAGGGAGGCTGGGAAATGTAGTCCATGACCAGGTGGCTCCTTCCCAGACAATCCCCCTGCTATAGAAGGGGGAAACAATTCACCTTCCATCCCTGTACATTCTGTTTACTCGCCTATAAACTGGGGGAGCTCTGCCCTGCCCACTCGTCATGGAACTGGGGACACGAAGGACTTGCCCCTGCCAGGCAAGGCTTAAACAGTATCTGCACCAGTCGTGGGAAGAGGGGCCGTGCGCTGTTTTTCTTCCTGATGAAGGTCCAGAAGCTCTTAGTACCCCTGGCAGTTGCTGCTGTTCCGAGTCGCGTGCTGGAGTTGGGAGCACTTGGGCGCAGCTTGTCGGCTGGTCTTGGGCCTCGGCGCTGGCTCGGAGGTGCAGCGCACAGCGGCTCTATGGCGGGATCCTTTCTGTCCCCGGCAGCCAGAGGGTCTTGCACTGTAGCAGAAACCTGGCCTGGGTCTCGGTACCAGAGGGTTAGTTCTCAGGGGAACAAGTATGAATACCGATTCGTGGGCTCTTCAGGAAGTTCATGGAAAATGGATCTTATGAAAAAACTAGGCCTGGATTTTACATTTCTTTGCACCAGAATAAACTTGTGCTTTTAATTCTGTTTTCCCACAAGCGTTGTGAAGTCCTCTCTCGTGGGCGTCCAGGCAAAATCGAGCGGGAGGCTCTCTGCCTTGGCGCCCTTCAGCCCTCCCCACCCCGCCCCGCTTCTCCGCACAGCAGCACAATGTGGTCCTGGCCTCTGCTCACCCTCCGACCCTAACGACCTCTGTGTTTCCTTCACAGGAGCAACCAGGGCTTTATGCACATGAAACTGGCCAAAACCAAAGAGAAGTACATTCTGGGTCAGAACAGCCCCCCGTTTGACAGCGTCCCGGAAGTCATCCACTACTACACCACCAGAAAGCTCCCCATCAAAGGGGCCGAGCACTTGTCCCTCCTCTACCCAGTGGCTGTGCGGACCCTGTGAGCAGCCCGGCCCGGCCCTGCTCGGGGACCGAGCCTGAGAGCCGGCCGCGTCCAGTTCGTGTCGTGCGTATGGTACTAGCACACCACTGCATGTCTCTAGAGTGCTGTTGCCACCTCTGGGGGCTGGAGAAGGCCTGGGTAAAGACCGAGGGACGCCTGCACACCCTCCAGCCCCCACCCCCACCCCCTCCTTGAGTTGCTGTGAATTAAAATATTTGCAAATCCAAAGAGATGCCTTCCAGGACGGATGGAGGCGGGGCAGCCCGGCGGGGCGGGACGGGGCGGGGCGGGGGCTCCCTGGGCTGCATCTCTTTGTTCTCCGGCCTTCGAATTCACACCTGTGCCAGGGGCCGAGTTTTCCCACGGGCCCCAAGGCTGCTGGGAGCCGAATGCTGGTGCTATGAGAGCCCAGGAGGCCCGGGGTCCTACCCACTGTGGTATGCGTGTGTGTGTGTGTGTGTGTGTGTGTGTCCCTGTGTGAGGGTGCGTGTGAGCACATACATGAGAACGTGGTCACGCAGACGAATAAGCCGCTATGTGTAGTCACCCAGTGTAATCATTAGGAGAGCTTCCAGGAATCATTGTGCAGTCAAAAAAAGGATTCAATTATTTATGAATAGGGTGTGTAAATAAAATAGTCATTTAATATATAGTCTTCTCCCTTCTGTTATATACCACAGGGGGTCCTGAAGGGGCACTGATCCCACCGCAAGGCATGCCACCTGGGCCTGTGGATACCAAGGCCTGGAGGTGGGGTGGGCGGGGCAGTGGTCCCAGTGCAGCAGGCCCTGGGCACCTGAGCTGGGCATACTGGGACCTGGGCAGAGCAGCAGGCAGACCCGTGATCAGCTCTGGCAGTGGAGGGTCAGGAGCCTGAAACACAGCCAGCAATCGGGCATTCGCTCTGCCTGCAGGAAGGCTTGCTAACCCCCGGGGCACAGTACCGGGCAACTGGGGGGGGGGTGGTCAGGAGCCTCGAACACAGCCAGCAACCGGGCGTTCACTCTGCATGCAGGCAGGCTGTGCTAACCCCCCGGGCACAGCACCGGGCAACGGCAGGACTCCTCCTGTTAGCTGCCCAGCGCCGCCCTAGGAAGCATCTACCCTGTGAGGCAGGGGTGGCTCGGAGGAGTCCCTTGTGTGAGTCGCACCGCTCCCAGCAGCAGGGCAGACTTCGCAGCCACAGCCAGTGCCCTTTCCCTGGCTCTGCATGGCCAGGCTCACCCTGGTCCTCGGGGAGGGCGGCATCCCTACCTGTCAGGGACCCAGCAGGTCTCTCGTCATCCACGTCGCCCCCACACAGATAAAAACACCCATATGCTGGCATGTGTGTACACGGCCACTCTCACCCTGCCCATGACAGGAGCAGGGGCTCTTCCCTCTGGCTGGCATCTACCACAGGAGCAGCCAGGCCCCACGCCATCCTGCCTGCCCGGCTGGTCCAGTGGCCTGGGAGCTGGTGGCTGTCATCCCAGTACATGTGGGAGGAGCACGAGCAGCGAGTCTGGTCGTTAGCAGTAGGACACTCAGCTGCCCGGTTCAAGCCCACCGTGGTGACAAGGCCAGGGAGGAGGACTCGGGCCACCTGTAGACCTGGGCAGGACAGGACTAAATGGCCTGTTCCTACAGGTGGCCACAGGGATCTCAGTGGTCTGTGGCCAAAGCTGTTCCCTTGGTGACCTTTCATGCCCAGTCCACCTCTTAGTCATCCTCCCACATCCTTGATTGTTGGTCCAGGCTTCCCCGGCCGACCATCATTGCCACATGGGCTGTGGCCTGGGTCCAGTCTTCAAAGAAGTCAGTCCCGCCTCTTGGTCTGGTTTGTACTTTCCAAAACATTCTGCGAGCCAAGGGAGCAAGGAGTACCTGGGGGTGTCCCTTTGTTTGGGGGTGGGGAGCAAGCAGTGAACGAGAAATGAGAGGGGCTGGCACTTGTCCAGGCAGAGGTGAACCCAAGGGAGCCCGTGAGAGATGGAGGGCTTGGGGAGGCCACTCCCTGGGCCACGGGGGAATGGTGAGGCCTCACTGGGCACGTTGGGATTGGCCCACAGTGCAAGGCCTTTCTCTGTACATGATCTTCCAGAGCAATTTTCCCCTCTGAAAAGGCTCTGTTGGGGGCCAAGCCGGGCTGCTTCCCCCTGGCGTTGCCTTCGCTCGCATCCCAGCCTTCATCTCGCTGAAGTCTCCCTGGGAAATCCAACCTCCAGCTTCCCGTAGGGACCACAGCCTTCGAGGAGCCAGCTTACAGGATGGGAGCTGCTGAAAAGAATTTCGTTCCTTAATTTTATGAACCTCTCCCTCTTCTTCCTCTCATTGTGACCGTTTCCTCTGCCAGCATGTATTCATGTTTTCTTGGACATCTAACAATGGAAACAGCTTTTCCCTTTCAGAAACGCTCCCCATTCAGGTTACTGGCGTTGGTTTGGGTTTTGTTTTGGCTTCTTTTTTTTTTTTTTTCATCTGCTGCCAATTAATGAGAGAGAAAAAAAAGGAACTGGATTTCTCTGAGGGAGAGAAAAAAAGTTTTTCTTTAAAATAGTGAAAATCTACTAACCTGATATATCATAACAAATTTGGATATCTGCCATAACTTTTAGGAAACTACATATTCTTCTCATAGCATGCCCAGTGCATGACCCTTTTGGTAAGCACTATCTTGAATTTAAAGTTTATCATTTCTTGTACTCATTTCTCAATATTCTTATGGATGTTTACATAATATATTAAAAATAGCTAAGTATTTTTGAAGTAGAGATCTGGAATATAAAACAATAAACAATATTATTTTTTTGGGTTTTGTTTTGGCTTCTTTTTTTTTTTTTTTTTCATCTGCTGCCAATTAATGAGAGAGAAAAAAAAGGAACTGGATTTCTCTGAGGGAGAGAAAAAAAGCTGCCTGCCACACAATACGTCACCCTCCCTCCGCACAGCCCGCAGCCACTAATGGGCCTCCCGGCCCAGAGCCACGGAGGGGGATCTCCTTTCCTTGCTGTTCCCATTATTGACGGTAGTGCCCCAGCCATTGAGCAGCTCTGTCCTTGAGCACAGGAGTCAAGGGCCTTCTGGCTGTCCCCAGAACAATATGGCCTCTGCAGAGAGAAAGGAGGCTCTGGGCACGAGGGCCCGCCTGCCTGTCAGGCCCAAGATGCTGTCAGAAGAATGACCCCAGTGACGTCCGGGCGTGGAGAGGGGCCTTCAGAGCAGCCCTTCACAGGAAAGTCATGGCAGGCTCAGGCTTCAGGAAGGCTGGGCCCTCGCCCAGTGATCCCGGGCCGTGCCCTGGTGAGCAGAGCGAGCAGGAGGGAATCCTGTCAGAGCTTCCAGAAGGGGCCTGTGTGTCAGCCACATGGAGCTCTGCCGGGGAGTCCCAGGACAGTCACGGGACAGTTCTCTGAGACCCTCAGAAGTGGCGAATGTCACTTGACCAGGGCCTGGCAGGGACTGAAGCCAAGGCTTGCCGTTTGCTCCCACGGGCCCTAGGGTCAGTGTATGCAGGCCCAGCACATGGGACAGGCTGGCCTCTGGAGTCACCCGTAGATACTATGAAAGGTCCTGGTGGAACCCAGGCAGGGGCTGGGCAAACTGCTTCGTCCATCTCTTCACCCTTCAGTCAGTTTCCAGCAAAGACCAAAGCAGGCGAGTTGTTGAGAGCGAGCCTGCAGGGCCCACAGTCTAGGATGGAGGAGCCCCTTCCGGAATGCTACAGGGACCTGCTCACAGCCTCCTGTGGGGGTTCGGGGGACCCTCAGCCTCTTCATTGGCCTCTTCAGAGTGCTTATGCTACTTGCAGGAGCCCCGTGCCAACCACCCGCTGCTAAAGCAGCGCGCTGTGAAGTTCAGTCCCGGGTGATGGCTGTAGTGATGTGCATTTAATGTGACGCTTTCCCTCTTCCACTGTCTTGTTGAAATGCACCTCCTTGAACACACACACTTTATATCTTTAAAATGCAACGTGTGCCCCCAGAAATCTGGACTGCCTTCTGCTTGCGAAGCCTGAGCTTCTGCCATCAGCCCCCAAAGGTGGATTGTTACAGGAAAAAGGGAACCTTCCTGCTTCCTCATTCTGAGGAAGACAGAATCCTCATGAGCTCATTAAGTGGAAACTAATTTGTTCAGCAGACTGCGTGCCTGTTGGACCTCGGGTCTGGTGGATACAGAGGTGAGTGGGACCCGGCTCCTGCCCTCAAGAAGTTTCCAGTGTGGAAAAACAAACGGCATCACATATGACACGGACAGCAGTCGGGCAATGCTGGGCCTTGGAGGACGGGTAGGCGTTCACAGGGCGCCCGAGGGGTGGGTGTTCCGGAGGGGTCACAGGTAGTAGGATGACCTGGAGGGATGCAGCCCGCCTTGGGAGGCGATGGCACGGCTCGTGGGTACACAGGGCAATGAGCAGGGCAGGGCGAGAAGAAGGGGCCATCACCCCCCCAGCCAGGGAGGAGCACTTGGACTCCCTCAAGACTCTGGGAGACGCTGGCCCTCCGTTTTCTGGGGGACGTGGATCCTTGCAGAGAGGAGGGCAGGGCACGACTTGTCATACTGTCTCCTGCCATTCGCCTCATTGCCGTCATGATGGTGACATTATGTGGCCTCAGGTCAGAGACACAGATCCACACTGATGGGGTGAAGGGTCCCCAGCATGTTGGGGAGGGGTTCTCTGGTGTTTACCCCAATCCCTGCCTACCCTTGGAGGAATTCACCTGCCTGTTCCTCCCAGTTCCCCAGGCAGTGGTCCTCAGGACCCCAGCAGTTCTTCCTCCACCCCCTCAGACTCAGGCTTTGGTTACCTCCTCCCCTCCACCGCAATGAGCAGACTCCATACCTCGTCCCTGGGGCCACTCAGAGCACCAACACCCGTGCAGCACTGTGCGAGGGAGGGCAAAGCCCTGGCATGGGGCCCATGACAGCGACAACGTTCCAGGGCTCGGCCTGGCCCCAGGGAACAAGAGCATGCCAGTGCTCTGCCACCAGGAGTCTCCTGGAGGGGAGGAGGAAGGGCCACCCTCACCTCTGTGTTATGCTCCGGGGAGGTTTTTGTTCCTGTTACAGTTCAGGTGAACAAACCTCAAGACTGAGGCAGAGATGGGGACAAACTGGTGACCAGGAGCAAGAAGCTGAGCACAGGAAACATCTTTCTCAGCAGATCTGAGGCAAGTTATGGGCACCAGATGTCATGTCTCTGCACAGAGACCCACCAGGGCAGGCCAGAAACAGGCCAGAGAGGGACAGAACCTTGCTCAAGGATACACAGCAAACCCATCTCCACATGCCTCAGGGTGCTCAAGGGTGGCCAGCTGGGAGGGTCACCTTGGCCAGCACAACTCTGGGAATGCTAGGCTGGGAGTGGGGAGTTCGTGGCAGAGTGGATGAGCCAATGTTTTCTTACTGGCACCTCCCGGAGCAGGAGCATCCAGGGCCTGCAGTAACTAGTGTCATCTCTGGCTGGCAAGGACAATTTCTAAAGGAGCCTTGGCCTGACAGGGTGGCAGGAAGTCACCTGTGTGGCTCTGGTGCCTTCGTGTGGTTCGTCTTGGTATTGCAGCCAACTCCAGGACAGGATACTCAGCCTCTAAGACACCTGGAGAAAGCGAGACAGAGAAAAGAGGCAGGCACGAAGCAGGTAAGTGGCAGGCAATGGGGAATAAGAGTGTTCAAGCAGAAGGGACAGGGGGAACGGTATCTGAGCATTGGAAGTTTCCCAGGCAGAGGAAACTGCGTAAGCAAGAGCTGGGAGGCCCCTCCGACTGCACCGCACCCTGCTCCAATCCGGCACTAATTCATACCAGAGAAGGAAGAGCAGACCCAATTAGCGCAGCTCAGGATGAAACGCCGGTGGTTAAGGTGCTGGCCTCCAAAATAGTTGACTGTGATTGGAGTCCCAGACCTGGGGGCTTGAAACTCATGCTGGGCATATGTGTGTGTCCAAAATCCTGAGAGGAGAATGGAGGAGAAGGGATTGCTGCACGGCCATCCTCGGGGGAGGGGAGGGGAGGAGATTTCTTGCTTTCTGTCTCTTTGTCTCTTCTGTGAGCCCTATAGGAAAAAAAAAAAAATCTACTGACTCTGAACTAGGAAGGTGATGTGGTTAAGGCACTAGATTCCCACATGGCCAACTCTGTGATTCAAGCCCCAGACCCAATGACTTGAAAAACAGGTGAAGTTTGTTTCTTCACCCTTCCACAATCAGTTTCCAGCAAAGACCAAATTGCCTGCCCAAAATCCCAAGAAAAGAAGGTACTGTGGTATAGTCATCCTCCCCAGGGGGTGATTTCTCACTTTCCCTCTCTCTGCCTCTCTGTCTGTGCCCTATCTAAAAATAAATCTAAAACAAAGGAAGTTACTGATTCTAATTATAAAACCGGCATGTATGTATTTGCCAAACTAAATTTGTTTGAGTAAAATACAAAGAAAACAGGTCTAACCTCCACGGTGCAGTCAGGAGTGAATGAACTGCAGTTGCTGAAAGCCACGTGGCCTACTGCAGGTGCAATCCCTGGCCTGGTTAACCTGAAACACTGAGTGAGCGAGTGTGCAAGATCGTGCCCAAGAGCCCAGCAAGCTGGAGGGCTGGAGAAAGGGCACTGCCACAGGCTGAGAGTCTCTCAAGGACACTTCTCACACTTGTATGCATGCATGCACAACCCTCTATCACGGATGCTTCTCACACTTGCACACGTGCAGCTTCTCACATTTGCATGCATGCACAACCCTCTATCACCTATGCTTCTCACACTTGCACATGTGCAGCTTCTCACACTTGCACACGTGCACAACCCTCTATCACGGATGCTTCTCACACTTGCACACGTGCACAACCCTCTATCATGGATGCTTCTCACACTTGTACACATGCACAACCCTCTATCATGAATAATAAGTAATTTTAAAAAGAAAGAATAAAAACTATCCTAAACCCAAAGAACAATACTGAGGACAGAATTCTGGGTGCATTTCCTATTCGAAGGTCCTGGATTGTGGGAAAAGTTATGACATATTTTTTTCTGTTTTCCTATGCAAAAATGCATCGTGACTTTTCTGACAACCCAGTATTAAGAGGCCTAGGGGAGTCACCTCTACACACATTAATCTTGCTGTTACAGACCTCTTCGGTCCGCTGGTTGTGGGACGCTCCCTACATCCCGTCCCTGGGGTTGTATTATTAGACACATAGTAAAGCCTCCTTATCTGTTTCAGACACAAGTATTCTTTTGCTGATTCTATGTTTTTTGGGGAACAAAAACTTGTGTTTTGTTTGTTGGTTTTGCCACAGGGTGCTTGTGTTTGCCAGAAAAAGACAGAGTGGGAAAGTGAGAAATAATCCCTCGGGGCAATGGCCATACTACAGTCCCTTCTCCTCCATTCTCCTCTACAGGATTTTGAGCTTGCCCAAGTGCACACAATGTACAGGTCTGGGACTTGAACCGTGGTCAGCCACAGTGAGAATCCAGTGCTTTAACCACCACATAACCTACCCCCCCCATAGTAAAGACTTGTGCTTTTAACCAATTACTAAGAATTTCTAAACTCTTCTACAACCTACAACCACCCCCTCCCTCAGATGTCCTGCCTTTTTGGGTCAGGCCAGTGTAAACTAAACATTTCTTAGGCTGATTTGCAACTTTGTGTCTCTTGCTCTCAGAACTATTAATAAATAAAAAGAACTAAGCACCCCTGTTTTCTCAGATCTGGGCACTCAATGTCATATTTAAAATAAAGTATTTTAATTATTTTCTATAGAGTCTTGTTTATTTCTGCCCACATTACTATTAATATTCAGAAGTATCTCTTTAGTATAAATATATGTGTGTGTATATGTGTGTATGTGTATATATGTGTGTGTGTGTGTGTGTGTGTGTGTGTGTATATATATGTTTTGTTTTGTTTTGGCTAGAGGGTGCATGCTTACCAAAGAGAGACAAACAGGGAGGATGGTCACACCACAGTCCCTTCTCTATTTCTCCATCCTATTGGGATTTTGTATGCATACACACACAAACACATGCACACACACATAAGCTTCCAGGGTTTTTAAGCCACATAGGTGGGATTCTTTTTTTTTTTTTTTTAAGAGAGATTTTTGCTATAGGGTATATGTGCTTGCCAAAGAGACAGAAAAGAGACATCATGCCCATGGGGGAGGGGGTGGCCATGCTATAATCCCTTCTCCTCCATTCTCCTCTTGGAATTTTGGACATACACACACATGTGCCCAGTGTGAGTTTCAAGTCACCAGGTCTGGGACTCGAACTGCAGAAGGCCACAGGGGAGTCCAGCAACATAACTATTATGCTATCTGCTGGTCCCAACACTATGGCTGGGATTCTAACCACATGGTCGGCTTTAACCACTAGACCACAGGGCCAGGCCATAAAATTATTTTAAACAAAGTTGGGCTCATGCTGTTTGGTTTTTCACTCTCCATTTTCCATTGACATAGTGCATGACCTTTGTCCTCCATGCTATTAAATACACGATATAATCTCTCTTTTTTATTGCCGTATGAAATTCTATTCTTAGTTAACTTACTCAAGTTATTGTATAACCAGCTCTGCAGGAAATATCTTTATTCAGAAATCTTTATCCATATTTCTGAGTTTTTTGAAGACAGAAATTCATAGAAAGGGGCACTGCTGGGTCAAAGCTAGGTACCTCTTTGAGACGTCTTACCCTCCAAAGAGAAGTCCTCCAGCCTTCCCTGCCAGCTCTGGGAGTGCTCCCAGAGAAAGGCTGGTCTGTTAACAGTTAAGGACTTTTTTCTTTTATTTAATAGATGGTGTGTGCACTCACTGGGGGGAGAGAGAGAGAGAGAGAGAAGGAAAGTGAGAAAGCACTCCCCCACCACCATGGGGAATTGTCACACTACAATCCTCTCTTTTTCATTCTTCTCTTGGGATTTTGAGAACACGTGCACACATGCTCTTCCCATTTCTCAAACGATAGGGTCCAGGGCTCCAACCATGCAGTTGGCTATGTGGTATCCAGCTGCCTTAATCACCACACTACCAGTGGCCCACGTTTAAAGACTTGGATTTGGGGGGACCAGCAGTTAGCGTAATGGCTATGTCACTGGACTCCCACGTAGTCGACCGCGGTTTGAGTCCCGGACCCGGTGGCTTAAACTCACGCCGGGCGCGTGTGCGTGCGTGCCCAAGATCCCAAGAGGAGAATGGAGGAGAAGGGATTGCGGCGTGGCCATCCCCCCTGGGGGGTGATTTCCTGCTTTCTGTCTCTCTGTCTCTCTCTGTCTGGCGAGCGCACGTGCCCTATAGCAAAAATCTCTCAAAAAAAAAAAAAAAAGACTTGGATTTAGCCTAAAACACAGGCATAAGCGAAGCAGTTCCTTTTATCAAAGACAACTGGAGCTCAGTGAAGGCTGGGGAGTAGGACAGAAGGCTGCTGGGCTCTACTGTCCCTAGCTGAGGGGCTTTCCAGGGTGTAGGACTTTGAGTGCTGAAACCAGAATGGCCCAGACAAACCAGAACACGTGGTCTTGTCATCCTAGATGCCAGCTCCCAGTGTGACCCGGGAGAAGCCCTTTGACTTCTGTTCAGCAGAGGCTTCCTCTGCTCCATGACGGTAAGGTCCTGGGTTGGGGGGACCCTGAGGAGCTCAGGAGGAGTCCTGTTCTCCTGAGGTGCAAATGTGAGCGAGAAAAGGAACAACTGTCATTCAGTGGGAGCACCAGGCAGCCCAGGCTCACATTGTAACTCCATCCCTTTCTGCATGTAACCCTGGTGAGGGACAAAAACCGTGTTCTTTGGAGCCAGCAGTTGGCATAGTGGTTAAGGATGCTGGACTCCCACATGGCTGACTGCAGTTAGATTCCCAGACCTGGCAGCTTGCTTTCTCAATTCCCTTCTCTTTCTCTGATTAAATGAAAATAATTAATTAATTAATTTAATTTAATTAAATAATTCCTTTTCTTTTTTGAGAGATTTTTTGCTATAGGGCGCGTGCGCTTGCCAGACAGACAGACAGAGACAGAGAGACAGAAAGCGAGAAATCACCCCCCAGGGGGGATGGCCACCCACAATCTCTTCTCCTCCATTCTCCTCTCGGGATCTTGGGAACGCATGCACACGCACCCAGCGTGAGTTTAAGCCACAGGGTCCGGGACTTGAACCGCGGTTGACTACTTGGTAGTCCAGCAACATAGCCATTACGCTAACTGCTGGTCCCCAAAATAATTCCTTTAAACAAGGATTATCTTTTTATTTTTGAGATCTATACATAAGATTAGCGATGCCTGCTCTTTTCAGTCAGTTGTTCTACGCAATTCACTTGACCCATCTACTGCATTCCTGTGTCTACTAAACACCTTTTCCTTAACCTCTGTTATATACCCTCTCTGTCCCCTCCCCATGCAACTCTGGTATCCAAGTTGTCCTCTCTACTTCTGTGTCTTCAATTTCACTGTGACATGGCATTGGAGAAGCGAGCTCACAGGCTTCTTGCAAAGACTCCGTGCAGCATTGGATGAATGCCCTTGGCTTGCCTCAGCCTGCTCAGCCTCCAGATCACGTTGGCTAGGATGAGAACTGGGTATAATGGCAGAGACCCATGGTCTCAGAACATCTGAGAGAAAAAGGCCTGGGGTGCCAGAAAGGCTCCCTGTCTAAGGAACTGGAGTCCATTTTATTTTCATCCATTTTGTTTTAGTTTGTTTCATAATTTCTCATTTACATTATAACTGTATAATACAGATTTTTCAAAGTAAGCATGCAGCATGTGATAATCAAATCAAGGATAATACCATATTGTTTTCAACAAAGAACACCACATTATGACATGTACCGCTAATTTTTCCTCAACTAGTTTTTCTCTTTTTTCTTTCTTTCTTGTAGGTTTCCGCCATAAGGCACGTGCACTCAGGAGAGAGACAGAGAGAGGGGAAGTAAGAAATCACCTCCAGAGGGA